GTTGCTGCTTCCCGTAGCCCTCAAGTTGTTCCCCAACCTACTGCCCAGCACGTACGAAGGACAGAAGTCCAGGGATGCGAAGGTATCGGGCCTTCGAACGACAAGAAAAGAAGTCAGCAAATTCCTACAGCACAGCTTGAAGGAATCTGGCCTCCCTGTGACTCCGGCAACCATCCAGCGGGAGGAGATTACGACATTCTTCCGGAAGCTTCGGTCTTCGACAGAGACACCTACTCACGAAGATATTATCAAGGCGTGCAAGATTTTCAAGGATGACTTGACGCTGGATAACCTTTCCAGGCCTCAGTTGGTCTCGATTTGCCGGTATATGAACCTGAACAACTTCGGTACGGACAACATGCTCCGTTACCAGATTCGCCACCGTATGCGACAAATCAAGAGAGACGACAGGCAGATCAGCTACGAAGGTGTCGCGTCACTCACTTCTGGAGAGCTGCAGATGGCTTGCGCCAGCCGAGGCATCCGCACCCAGAGCGTCTCGCCCGCGAGGATGCGCGAGTACTTGCAGCAGTGGCTCGACCTTCGTCTCAAGGAGGCAGTACCCTCGACTCTGCTTGTGCTCAGCAACGCATACATGTACGGCCAAGGAGCCGGTGGAGCGACGAGTCAGATCGATGCTCTCGTTGGCGTGCTTTCCTCCATTCCGGATGAGCTTCTCCACGAAATTGCCCTCGAGATTGAGACATCTCAGGGCGCTGCCACCAACAAGCAGCGTCTGGAGGTCCTCAAGGAGCAGCAGGAACTGATCGAGGAGGAGAACGAGCAGAACGAGGAGAATGCCAGCACTGGTCTGGCCACGCCTCGTGACATCGAGGACATTGACGAGAAGGAGGATGCGATCGCCATGGAGGCCAAGTCAGTCAGCCCTGAACAGGTGAAAGAGGCCGCCGAGGCAGAGCAGGAGATGCTTGACGCTAGGCGATCGCAAGAGGTGACATCCAAGAAGAACGAGTGAACGCCGTTTGATACTACTTTTACCACTACGATACACGCCTTAGCAGGCGCTTTTTCTTTGTTTTAACACTTGTAAAGCATGGGGTGGGCAGGCAGGCATGTACCACCAAAATGAGGCGATGACTTGGGCGGTCTGACAGGGACCGAGAGCAAGCAAGCAGTAAAACTGATAGAAGCCCCTCCTCTGGAAAGCAAAGATAGAATCCCACTTTTGTACACAATGGCGGCACCAAATGGCCTAGATTGTACCAACAACAGATAACCTTTGATCTCAGGAGACCAATCTCAATTTTTCTCTAAGTGTGCAAACGGCGAGCTAACAAATTCATCCCCCTGTGGAGTCTTCGCAGCGACCCAAGTGCGCTGCTCACCATCTACGCATCTGGAAGCTTTCGTCATAGGTCCAAGGGAGGATGAGAAGTACAGGGGCGAATGGCTGGAGATAGCGGAGTACCTTTGGCAGAAGGATAAGATTGCAAGATATACAGCATCGAAGCCTTTTGATCCTACCAAAAAGTCTTTGGATAGAAACCAGAGCATCCGAAAACACTGTTGAGCAAGTCTGCAAAGCTAAACCACTTACCGTGCTGTGAAAATCGATGCCCAATGTTGTGGCATGATGTACTCATATATCTGGTTCAATGGGGGGTAAGGCCCGAAACAGGCCTGCAGAGCGGAGCGTCAGTGCTTCGAGCTGTCCTTGCGGATTATGGTAGCGTCGTCACTGTCCTCGGAACGACCAACAGGCAGCTACCACTGCAACATCGCAACCAGACACCTCGAGTCACGCGTTTGTCTGGTGCTACGTAAATCTGCCTCCGTCATACTATTGCGACAAATGCTCTAGAGACCTGTCCTGACGCATCTCCTCGCATCACGAGCACTCTCCGGCGACGCCGACGGTCATCTTCACCTCAGGTGAACACGCATTAGCCCCACCGCTACCGCCTGAACGACCACTTCGACACGATGGCACGAATTGAGCAAGAGGACTTCTCAGCGTGTCTGGAATAGTGAACGCGCGGCTGAAAGACGGTGTCCAATCACGGGCTCCTCTGCGGGTGATGCGCCTGACAGCAATGGCTACCAAGGACAAGAGGCCCAACACCTTGACGCTGGACTGGGCGAGGAGGTGCTCGAATGCACCGTTTCGCAGCCGTTGAAAGAAAATGAGGGGTCTAAGGACGTCTTCGTATCGTATCTCATATCCACTTACGTATGTTTGGAGTCCGAGGAACTGCGTCGGTTGAGGATGCGCTTTCTGAGCGCAAGCGCTGACCACACGCCTAGTCTACCTTCCCAGCCTTCCAAAAGTCGACGAGCAACGTTCGTCGAAGGTTCACAGATTTTGTCTTCCTGTTTAAGCAACTGAGCAAAGACTATCCTACCGCAGCCGTCCCTCCACTACCCGACAAGCAGCGCATGGAATATGTCCGAGGGGACCGCTTCGGCCCCGATTTTACCAACCGCCGAGCGCACTCTCTACAGCGATTCCTCGCCCGACTATCTCTGCACCCTGTACTTCGCCGAGCTGATATACTGCACATATTTCTGGAGAGCCAAGAATGGAACGCAACCATGCGCTCTCGAGGCTCACGGGGTTCTCAGAGTAGCGATGGCGCCAACAACGGCGTGTTTGACAACCTGACTGAGTCGTTCATGACAGCATTCTCCAAGGTCCACAAGCCAGACAAGCGATTTATCGAGGTTCGGGAGCGGAGCGACAAACTTGACGAAGATCTGGTGCAGATTGAGAAGATTGTCGCCCGAGTCGCCCGTAGGGAGAACGATATCGAGACCGATCAGCGAGACCTGGCCGAGCAGTTCCAAAAACTCATCCTTCTTGAACCTGGTGTGGAGACGGCAGTCCATCATTTTGCAGCGTCTATCGAAGATACCGCCCACGGCACACGGGATCTCAGGGACATCACAGACCAGGACTACCTCGGTAGTCTGAGAGATATGCAAGCGTATAGCCTGGCGCTGAAGAGCCTTCTCAAGGCGCGCGAACAGAAGCAGGTAGACTTCGAATCACTCGTCGAGTACCTTAACAAGGCCACCGCGGAACGAGACGGTGCGTTGTCGGGTCACGGGGGCTCTGGACTGTCTGGCGCAAGCGGATTCATCACGCGCAAGTTCGAAGATGTCCGTGGTGTCGATCACGAACAGGCACGACGCGAGCGACGGGTCAAGCTTGAGCGCAAGATCGACGACCTCACCGGTGCCATCGAGCTGGCCAAGAGAACGAGCGAGGGTTTCGACAATGAGGTTGTCAAAGAAATCAACGACTTCGAGCGCATCAAACGGGCTGAGTTCAAGTTGCAATTAGGAGGCCTCGCGGACGCACATATTGACTACTATGGCAAGGTGACTAATATTTGGGAGCAGTATGTGCGGGGACATGGAGAAACAAGGCGTCACACAGCCCACCGATGGGCCGGAACCACCAGGCAGGCAACTGTTGTAAGGGCAATGCAGTTTTTACTTTGAAGACTTAGTCAAGGTAGAGGAAGTGGGCGACCGGGAAGATTCAACAGGCTGCTTGGAAAGGGTTCATTGCTGTTCATACCGTCCTGCGTGATTGACGTCTTGAATAATAAGTGCCAGACGACAAGTACACGGGACCCCCATTCTGCCTTGCGTGAGGAAACTGTACATGTAGGACTGGACTTAGCTTGGTGTGTGCTACCGTTATTATTAGAAGCTGAGCTGAAAGTGTCTTACGCGGACTGTTGACGCAGGCGTCTTGCTTCGTGCCAGAGCAGGCAGAGGGACAACACGACCAATCTCGACCCAACAGCTTCGCGCCTACCACTTCTCTCGTGCTGAAGGCTGCTTCGGCACCTTACTAGGAGACCAGGCAACGAAAGTGAAACTGGGAGTGGTCCGTGGTAGATCTAGGTACGCAAAAGTACCTGTGTCGACCTCCCTCGCCCGTCTAAGGTTAGGTAATGGTTGGGCTGTGCGCATCATTATCTTGGTAGGTGTTGACCCACCCAGACCTCCCTCGTCAACCCTTGTGGACTGGACCAGTCCAGCGGCCTAGGACGCGAGCACAGGCCGTGAAACAGCAGGACGTGGATGCCTCGTTTCGGCCGCCTTCCCATTCGGGACACTTGCCTTGTCTTCATCTTGCGTTTCCAGAAGGCCACGACAGCGACATCAATCTGACCCTTGTTTTCGACCTCTCATAACTTGCCTCTCTCACCATCCGCCGTCGATTTGGACGTGTACATCTTCGATTGACTATTGAAGCCTTGCCGTTCGCCTGTTCGGTAGGCCATCTTCGGTGCGACTAATTCTGCTCAAGGTACGTCGATTGACTGCACGGCAATCTGATGTCCTTCAGCCCCCCTGAGGATTCAGTAGATCGCCCCCTCCCAAACCCGACGCCTTGTCAGACTTGCGCCTTCTCCAGCATAGCCGCAACTTTCTACCAACCTTCTTTTCCCGTCTGTCGTCAGTGATCTCTTTGATTGCTCTCCCCTGTTTGCCATTCACTGCTCATCCCTTTCGGCGCATTCTTGCGTCCCGCGTGCACAGCAACCTCGACAATATACTGACAGCATACCATCCAGCGACATACTACCACCGACTCATTCCTTTGACCTTACTCGGCATTGATTTTCGATAGGTCACTTCCTATGTCTTAGGCCTCGAGAATAGATCTCCTTTCTCTTCTCCCGACAACAGAATCTCTTCACAGTTGGAAAGGCTTTCGTGTCTATACCCCGAACACCCACCATGAAGGTCACAGCTGCCATCGGCCTTCTTGGCCTGGCTGCCGCTGCGGCCGGCGCAAAGCATACGCCTCGAAACTACGAAACCAACGACTACTATGTCCTCGAACTCGACTCTTCCACGGCCCCGGATCTCGTCGCAGAGCGCCTAGGCCTGAGGCACGAGGGAGAGCTGAGCGGCCTTGACGGCCACCACGTCTTCGCTGGGAAAAGGGTAGAACATGATGTTGTCAAGCCCGAGCTCCTGGCGAGTCGAAGAAGGAAGCGCGACCTCGACGGATTCGATATACTCGATGGTGTTCGCTTTGCGCAGAGACAAGTCCCACGTGCACCGTGGGAGAAGAGGGCGCCGCCGCCCGTTATGAAGCCGGAGCCACAACCGGCTGTTGTGCGGCAGGAGGTGGACGCTGCTCTCGCGCAGCAGCAGCAGCAGCTCATGAAGACGTTGGGCATCAACGACCCCATCTTCGATGTGCAGTGGCACCTTTTCAACCCGGTTCAGAAGGGCCACGACATCAATGTGACAGGTGTCTGGATGGGGGGCATCACCGGCCAGAACGCGACCGTGGCCATCGTCGACGACGGCCTTGACATGTATAGCGGCGACTTGAAACCCAACTACTATGCTGCCGGTTCCTACGACTTCAACGATCACAGGGATGAGCCGAAGCCTACCCTGGCCGATGACAGGCATGGCACAAGGTGCGCCGGCGAGGTTTCTGCCGCAAAAAATGACGTCTGCGGTGTCGGTGTCGCCTACGATTCTAAGATCGCTGGGCTGCGTATTCTGAGCAAGCTCATTTCCGACGCTGACGAGGCCGTGGCTATGACCTATGACTACCAGCACAACGATATTTACTCTTGCTCATGGGGCCCGCCTGACGACGGCCGCTCCATGGACGCGCCCGGAATCTTGATCAAGCGCGCCATGCTCAAGGGCATCCAGGATGGACGCAACGGCCTCGGCTCCATCTACGTCTTCGCAAGCGGCAACGGCGCAGCCAAGGAGGACAACTGTAACTTTGACGGCTACACAAACTCGATCTACAGCATTACAGTTGGTGCCGTTGACCGAACCGGTCAGCACCCATACTACTCCGAGAAGTGCTCCGCGCAAATGGTTGTGACATACAGCAGCGGTGCCGGCGATTCTATCGTAAGTTGTGCCCACTTATGTCGGATCTGCTCTTGCTAACTAACAATCCAGCACACCACCGACGTCGGCCCAGATGCGTGCACCGACGCACATGGAGGTACATCGGCGGCTGCTCCCATTGGTGCTGGAGTCTATGCTCTGGTTCTTTCTGCGAGGCCTGATCTGTCGTGGAGAGACATGCAATGGCTTGCCATGGATACTGCCGTGCCTATCAACTTGGACACTGGGGAATGGCAGGATACGATAATCGGCAAGAAGTTCAGCCATACTTTTGGTTACGGCAAGATTGATGCTTACGCCATGGTCGAGGCCGCCAAGACCTGGAAGAAGGTCAAGGCCCAGGCCTGGTACTATTCGCCCTGGGTTCACGTCAACACTGCCATCCCTCAAGGCAAGGATGGCCTGGCTGTTTCCCACGAGGTCACTTCCGATGCCCTCAAGCAGGCCAATCTGGCTCGCGTGGAGCACGTTACCGTCACCATGAATGTCAACCACACCCAGCGGGGTGACTTGAGCGTGGACCTGATCAGCCCGGATGGCATCGTCAGCCACATTGCGACAACCCGCAAAAATGACAAGGATGCGAATGGCTACGTCGACTGGACCTTCATGAGCGTGGCTCACTGGTGTGTCTCCGTGCAATAGGTCCGATCTTGTGCATCGTAAGCTAATATGGTTCTAGGGGTGAAAAGGGGATCGGCAAATGGACTGTTATCGTCAAAGACTCTGTGAGCAACCAGCACCAGGGCACCTTCACCGACTTCCACATCAAACTTTGGGGCGAGTCGATCGACGAGAAGAAGGCTACCAAGCTCCCCAATGCCCGAGGAGAGTGACGACAACGACCACGCCAAGATACAGACGACCACCGTGGCTGCAGCTACGACCTCTGTCAGCCACCCACCTCAGGATACAGGCTCTCTGGAGGCGCACCCGACTGACCACCCTGACCGACCGGCCAAGGTCAAGACGACCACGACGGCCGGGGCTGAGGTTACCCTGGAAACCAGTGCCGCGACACCTGCGCAGACGAGCGCATCTGTCCCCTCCGGCATCCAAGGGGCTCAAGGGGCGCCGACGAACAGCAACTGGATATCTTGGCTCCCGTCTTTCGGTGCCTCCGCCAAGGCTCAAGTTTGGATCTATGGCGCCCTGGCGCTTTATCGTAGCTTTCTGCTCGGGTCTTGGAATATGGTTCTTCATCGCCTCGCCGCCGCAAGCTGCGCAACAGCCCCCGCGATGACTATGAATTCGAACTCCTGAATGAGGACGAGTCTGAAGGCCTCAACCGCGGCGAGAAGGGCGCCGCCGCTAGTGGCAAGGGTCGTCGCACCAGGGGTGGTGAGCTGTACGACGGCTTTGCAGGCGGCAGCGATGATGAGGAGGAGTTTGTGGGTGAGGGGTACCATGACCAGGAGCGGTCAAGATCCCGCGAGGGTCGGAGGCGGGTGAGCGGTGACGATGAAGAACAACATGTCATTGGCGATGACAGTGACGATGAAGTTGTAGACGAGAAGCAAAGACTGGGAGGTGGCCGTCAGATTTGATATCCCTACGAAACTGAAAGTGTGGCCTTGGATGATGATGGGGGGAAAGCAGCAGCCTTTTCGCGTTCTGCTGGGTATTCTGTACGACGGCATCTCGCTGTTGGGTAATCGGGTGTTTCTTGCATGTGCTCAGCCACAAGGCTGGAAATGGAGCAGGCGTTTGCATCTTTTCTCCATGGAACCTACAATTATGTCTTACCACGCAATGAATGAAGTAATCGAGACTATGAAGCATGTGTTACCTGGAGTCTAAGTCGATTCTTTCATGTACATGACTGAGCCACCCGCAAGACGGTGAACTCATTTCAGTGCCTCACAGCGTTGGTAGGTGAGCACGATGTGAAGCAACTTGTGAAGAATAAAGTTGTGTCGTCTACTGTGGTAACTCGAGGAAAGGGCAAGAATTCGATTCTCTTGTGGAAACCAGAAGTGCCTGACACGACCTTCCTGAGTTGTGTGACGCCCAAGACCAAGGGGGCAGCCAGCGAGCAACCCAGTCGCTTGGGCTCCGAAAAAGGTTGAGCGACAAAGTCTCAGATGAGCCTCTGTTCCTGCAGCCTCGAGCGCGACATCGAGCGGCAAGCTAGTAATGGCGGCTTTTTCAACACAACCCGACCAACAACTCGGGTGGCTGGGAAAGACGTGCAGCAGGGGGTGACGACGCCAGTGTTAGGGGATCTCACCGTCGCTGCGCGCTGGGGCCCACAGCCGACCTGCCCTTGTAGAGCCAGCCGAGGGGTGCAAGCCCCGTACTGCGCAGTGCTGCATTGTGTTGCTGCGTCGTTCCGTCTCTTCGAGATGCCTTGATCGCCGAAGATACACCATGTGCATGCGTTTACCAGTGCGTCGGGGAGGACAAGCAGAACATGTCTCTCGATATAGCAGACTGTTACACCACATACTTGGTTGGTCCAGCTGCGCCTGGATGACATCCCCAACGACAGGTCTCAGAGCGAATGGGCGAGATATCAGAATCCCGGTACATGCGCCTGTGACGTGTCTAAGAGCCGTATGCTTGTCGTCATGCCACCTCCGATGATAGTGCAGAGGCGTGAATGCGTACTTCCCATGCCCAAGGTAGGTACCTAACCTAGGTGGGTTGCAGCGGTGTGCGAGCCACGAGACGCACGTATGCGTGCATGTGCCAACATTGTGTGTATCAACTGCTGAGCGTACCTCAAGCCATCAATGAAGAGGTAACGAGCATCAAGACGGCAACCTCTGGCTTCCCGTGCTGATAGCTTAGAATGCACCTGGGCCAGACAACATGCGGGGAGGGGCCGCGTAGTTAGTGGGCAAGGCTAGCTGCCCGCGCTGGGTACGCTTGCTCCCGTCGACGTCCCGACCGCCTCTTCTTTCCGTCTTCGCACGTTGCCGCTCTGTAGCGTCAACGGAGCCTGTGCCCCATCCAGCCCACCTGCGCCGTCGCGCGGTGGGGGCCGGGTCGCCTTCGATCCTACCTAGTCACGATCCTGGCTTCCTGGCCAGCTCCCCCTCTCCCCCCCCCCCTTCCCAAACTCATTACCCAAGCTCCGGCAGGAACTGCCCTGGTCAGCTGCCTTCCCTGGTCTTTCTGCAGGGTGCCTGCTCTTCGCGCTTCAAACGAACAATGACGGCGTAGCGTGCAGCCCAGCCTGGCGTCAACCCTGGCGTCAACCTCGCTCTTTTCCTGCAAGCTTCCTATTCTTCTTCCCGGTGACCAGCCTCTTCCTTATGCAGGCGACGCCGTCTGACCGTACCGCCAGACCTTTTTGCTTTTCCAACCCTTTGGCTTCGAGTCGTTTGCTGTGCGCCCCCGTCCCGTCGGCGATCATCATACTTAGCAAATACTACCCCTACGATACCCTCTTTACGTCCTATCTCCATCGCTTCGCATGTGTCTGCACCGCATTGGCTCACTTCTCACCACTCTCGCTCCGCCTCGCCTGGGCTATGGGAAGCTGCATGTCGCCTCGTAGGCCGGGCCATTCTTCCACGCTTCTCCCGCAGACCGTCTAGGGTTCATTCGGCCCTCTTGGACTGACCTCTGTACGCCCAATCTGCACATCCACTGACCCAATCATCTACTTCTCCCTCATCCTCGGGATCCATGCCCAATCCTGCCACCCAGCCATCTCCAGAGCACATGGCCACTCCCTACTGGGGCGCCTTGCCCAAGGGTCCAAGTACCGCCCGCCGCGCCTCTGGTGATGATCATGTCCTCGACGACCAGCCACCGCTAAACCCCATGGATGCCTTCTCTAGCTCGAGTGCCCCCCAACAACAACCTCGACGAGACCGCGCCTCAGTCCAGACAGCACGCACTGGCTATACTGAAGCTCCCACCGAGTCTACCTTGAGCCCCTTTGTCTCGCCTACGAGGTCAAGCTTCGCACCGCAAGGACTTGCGCCGCGGCCTCCAACCTTACCCTACGGTTCGTCTGGATACGCCGACGAGTTTGCCGAGAAGCGACAGCGCCGTCGAAGCTTGAAGAACGAAGAACAGATCGACAGGACAGTTGGACCCACGCCACCTGCTGCGCCTGACGTCCCTCGAGCTCCTCCCGTGAGCTATCGTCAGCCGTACACCCAGAGCGTCCAACCTGTCGGACCTCTGGCATCCCAGCGTCAAAACGTCCCTCCCGTCGATATCGACGACATGGAGCCCGAGGCCTACTACAAGGCGAATGGCCAGCAAGACTACCCGCGCACTGAGCGTTCACAGGGAGCCTCACGCCCGGCTGGTCCGCCCAGAGATGCCCGACATGAGAGGAGGAGGTCCTCGGCGACGAACACTCTACCCCTCAAATGGTGCTGGGGAAGCATTAGATCCTGCCAACCAGCCCACCAGGATACCAAGTGGTCGGAAGGTCTCTACAGACATCCGCTCGCCCCTTCAGCATCTAGAGACTGTTCTCAGCAAGGAGGAGAAGCGTGCTCGCATGGAAGCCGCTGAACAGAGGGCACGATCGAAAGCGAATGCCAATCCAAAGTTGCTGCAGCCCAATGCGCAACGAACGCAGCCCCGACAGCCCAGGCCACAACCACAGCAAGCCCCAGTACAACAACCACAGCAAGTCCGATTCAGCAACGATCGGGACCCAGACATTTATGAAGACACCCCGGCTCGTGGTCCTCCACCGGTAATCGCGGTCGCGGCAGCCCCGGCAGCTGCAGGCTCTAGAGGATATCCTCCACGAAAAGCCCCAGAAGACGCAAAGTATCCATCTACCGCCTCTCAGCAAAACCGTAGACCTCCCGAGCCCGCGTACCCAGATGTGCATCAAACTCTGGAACACAATTCAGGAATACCCCAGCGCAATCTCAGTTTCCGTGATCGAGCGCAGAAGGATGATCTGCGGTTGCCCAGCAGCAGCGTGAGGAACGAAAACGAAGCCAGTCCGCTTTCAACGCCGCCAGTCACGACGCCCGGTGGCGGCTTCTCTCTCACCAGAACCGGCAGCAACAAGTTGAAGAAGGAAAAGCCTGGCGATCCATGGTTCAGGGTAAGGCAGCAGGCGGAGCAGCAGTACAGCAACGCGGATACGCGAAATCTCTCCATGGACAGGTCAGCCGCTGCCACAGGCGGTAGCGCAGGCCCAGCGCAGCGATCAGGCTCTTTACAGGGCCAACAGTACCCTCGAGATCCCAGTATTCCCCCCGAGCAGGCCGGGCGGGCCGGCGTACCCAGTAAGGCTGCGAGACTGATCGTGTCGACATGGGCGGGGTTCAACGCAGGTCTACTGCACCAACAGTCAGGAGACAATCATTTGATCAATACGACGCTCCCCAGCGTGGACCAGTGCCGGTAGATGGAGCACCAGCCGTTGCGCTCCAGACCGGGCGGTACGCAGATGCTCGGCGACAGCGACGAAATGAGGATAGCGATTACAATTCCTCCGACGATGAGCGCGGTCACCATGTCTCGAACATGATCTACCGAAAGAAGGAGCATATGAGCCCTGGTCACGGACTGTACCTATCGCCTCAATGGCTTAATGAGTGGCAGAAAAGCACGACTGGGCTTCTTGGAGGCACGCTACTCGACCTCAGTCAAGAACAGCTTCCGGTGATCGATAAAACCACACCGTGGTGGGAAGGCGACAACACGAGGAGGCGGTCTAGTGTCAATTCGAGGCCACGCAAAGCTGAGGCATTCGACGGCGAGTACGACGAGAGATCAGGTGTGTATCTTCGCACGTCTTCTGCCAGAATATGCTCACTCATAACTGCAGCTCCCACTAGGTTTAAGCCATCTCTGCATCTCAAATGTGGTCCACTTCTGCGCTACTGCGGTATTCGACACGAGAAGGGCTTGGTCGGTCGCTCAGCCAAAGCTGCTCCTGCGGATAGAGAGATTTGGAGAGGCACGGTCATGATTGTGACCCAAGACTCCCAGTCGTCATACGAAATTTCTCCTACACTTCGCCTATTCGTTCAACCGATGGAGCTGTTGCCTCCGCCTCCCCATGAGATCTCGGGCGAACAGCCGCTAGCCCCTGAGTACGTTGACCCAATAGCAGGGTTACCGAAGCTAGGAAGGAGAGGAGAGACTTTGTACGTTCGCCCGGTGGAGCATCTTGAGGAAGCCAAAGACCTCTCCAGGGACGAGACAGACGAGGGTCTCTTTGAGACTTCGAGAAGCCCCCCCGACTACCCTGTAGCTGAGGGCGCCGTCGATCTCTCATACACTAGTCGGCGTGCCCGCGCCAAACTGGATGGCGAAAGAGTATCAAAGTACAAAGATGTGCGAGGATTCCGTTTGCATGCTGAGAGGGGTTACACCTTCTGGCGCTTCAACATTGAGGTTGAGCTCGGTGGAAAGCAGCAGCGCATCGCCTACCGGATCAACAGAGGTCCTGCTATGGGATTTTGGGTTCCTGCCAAGGGGCAGTCGATGAACATCATGTTCCACAGCTGCAATGGGTTCAGCATGAGTGTTAACCCCAACGACCTCAGCGGCCCTGACCCTATGTGGCGAGACGTTCTTAACAACCACCAGACCAATCCTTTCCACGTCATGATTGGAGGCGGTGACCAGGTCTACAACGACTGCTTGATAGGTCAAAGCGACCTTTTCAATGACTGGTTGGACATTCGGAACCCCCTACAAAAGCACAATGCGCCTTTCACACCGGCAATGCAGAATGAGCTTGAATCGCTCTACCTCGAGCGGTACTGTATGTGGTTCTCGCAAGGTCTCTTTGGGCTCGCCAACTCGCAAATTCCCATGATCAACATGTGGGATGACCACGACATCTCCGACGGCTACGGTTCATACCCTCACCATGACCAGAACTCGCCGTGCTTCTCCGTCTAGTGCTGTCGCATTCAGTACTATATGCTATTTCAGCATCAGAGC